TCTTTGATCAAAATACCTAGAGCAATTAGGATTTGAGTGAGGAAGCCTGAGGTGGAAGCCTGTAGTAAACTGAAAGTTAAAATGAAGTGCTAACTACTCTGTTTGAAGTCATAAAATGCCAATGGCTTATCCAACTGGGAGAGAAAAATACACAAACAGGAGATAATTATTTTTAATAAAAGCTTTTACAGTTTATATATTAAAGGAAAATATATGTTTATTGCTGAAATTTTGCAAAATATAGACAATTATAATAGAGAAAATATATCACCCCAAATCCCACCTTTGAGGAAAATGTAACCAAATTCTAATCTTTGTTTTCATAGACCTATCACTATGCTTTTACAAAAATAAGTTCATACTGTAGATAATGTTTTGCAATCTAAATTGTTACTTGAAATATTGTGTACATTTTTCTGATCATCAAATCATTTTTATAATATTTTAATGTCTGCATTGTTTTCCATGATACAGATGTAGCCTGTTACTTAATCAACCCCTTCCATATTGGGCAATTAGGTGGTTTGCCTTTTTTAATATTATACGATACTGTGATGGACATTCCTTACATTAATTCTCTGAATGTATATTTGATGATTTCCTTAGAATAGACTACAAAGTGTAGAATTACTGGATTAAATAATTGGCATCCTTTTAAGGCTTCTGTTACCTACTGCTAGTTACTTTCAAGAATCTTTCTTCTCATCAGAGAGTGTCTGGTGAATACTGAATCTTTCCCAGCACTGAAAGCTGTCAATTTTCTCTTAGCTTTTGACAATTTTATGAGCAGAAAAGTATTATTGTTTTGTTTTACATTATTTGGTAGCACTTTCATGTTTGTTAAGCACTGTTACATCTTCTTTTAAGGGCTATTTGCTCACATAACCCTCTGATACGATGAAAGAACTTCCCTCACTCAACCTTTAATGCCTACAGCATAGGCAGGACTAAGAGGAAAAGGGAGTAGAAAGAGAGGATTTGGAGACATGAAAAGAGCTATGTGGAGAGGAAGGCAGAACACTATAACCAGAGTGAATAGGATGTGGACTGTACAGGAGATTTGCTAATATTGTTCTAATCAGAATGGGAGAACTGCAGGTGGTCCCTATACACTCTCTGCTGTGAACTAACTTCTGCTGTACCTCCAGACACTTAAGTTCTGCTGTATCTCCTAAACACTTAAGTGAAGACCTTTTGAAGTACCTACAGGAGTGAGCACAGCATGCCAACTGAGAACACACACTGTAGACCCCGAGTTCAAATCCTGACTTTTTCACTTACTAACTGCATGACCTTGGACACCTTACTGAGTCAGTTTCTTCAGGTGTAAAATGGGATAATAACAGTGCCAACTCATAAGATTGATAGGAAGATGAAATGACTTAATAAATGTAAGTGCTTAGAATGGTGTCTGGAGCATAGTGCCATGTAACTAACTGTTAAATAAAAATATTAAAGTGCCCAGCATGACACATCGTGGCACACTTGAAAAGCATTGGCTGAAAACAGTAATACATAAATGGCGATGTATGTATAAACCGGTTCCAATACATTTAGTTTAGACAAGAGGGGTACTAAATGTTTTCAAAGAAGTAAAATCATGCATCTCATACAAGTATAAAATAAACCCATGTCAAAGATTTTACCGAAGTCATTCATTAATACAAGAAGTAATAAGACATTATAACTAATTTGAGGGAAGGTTCAAAGAACAGACAGATGTATGGGCAATTGGTGTTGAAATGAATTTGTTGGTAAATGCAAAGCTGATATCTTCCACAGGGCAGAAGTTAGTTTCATCTCCACCAGGCAAAATTCCTGTGCATCTCTGTGAGCAAACTCATTTGCTGCTCTCAGTTTTCTACTAATTAAAAAATAAAGAAAAGAAAAAGTGCAGATCTCTATAGCATCAGATCATCAGTAGAGTCCCCTGGACATCATCCATGGAAAGAATCCTTTCATCCATTTCAAAGACTTACCTAGTTTCCTTTGATTTAGGGAAGTCTGCAACCAATTATTGTAAAAGTTACTGAAACGGCATTAAGGGGGTCTGTGCAGAATTTCAGCCTCAACACTTAGAAGCTCTGTGAAAAATCACTTCTCTTTGAGCATCAGTGACCTTTTCTGTGAAATGAGTATCTAGTAAAATGAATATTCTGTAAAATTCAGTATCTAGTTCATGAGAACTCTTATAAAGATGAAATGTATGTTGCTAAAGCTCCTGGTACAGTATATGACTCATGGCAGACATTTAATAAGCAGTAACTGTTACTGTGCTTTTTATAATTAGCTGAACCAACCAAAGAATAATTACTCAGTTTTGCTTCTACCACACCCAGTTCCCCTAGGTAGAAGTTACATAGGGCATGAGGCAAAGCTCTGGAGCAGGAAAGTGCGTGGCTCCCAAAGGAACACTGAAAACATCAGCCTGATTGGAGAAGAGACTTGGTAGAGAACGCTGAGAATAATGCAGGGTAGGGAATATCCAGCCTCTGGACGGGCTTTGAAATCCAGACAGAGGAGTGCTGGCTCTGTCAGTAAGCATCCAATTCAGAGTCCCCTGGAGTGCAGATGTCTGGGCCTCACACCGGAAGACTGACTTAATAGCTGGCAGGTGGGGATTTGTACTTTATCAAATTCTCCAGGTGTTACTTAAGCACATTGAACTTTAAGAATCACTGTTGCAGATATGATACAAATCTGTATGTGGAGTTATATTCTTGAAGCTTAGGAGTAGTGAGAGCCTTCTAGCCAGTGTACAGGGTAGCTTTCTGGATGAAAAGATGAGGTAGTTCAAAGCGGGGTGGGGGGTGGGATTCGACAGAAGTACACACCATGACTAAAGAAGAGGCCCTTCACTAGGGTGGAAATTAAGGAATAGACAGGAGTTAGTTGACTCTAAACATCAAAATAAAGAAATAGAATTTAATGACTAAGTGGGTAGGAGATTCAAAGTGGAGGACAGGAAGTATTCAGAAGGGACCACATGATTTCAAGTCCAGGTGAATAGGAGAACAGAAATTCACTGACACAAATGGAGAATTGAGAAATGCAAGTTTTGTGGAAAGGTAAGTTCAGTTTGGAGCATAGTAGGGGATGGTGGTACTTTTAAGTGGAAGCTTAGAGAAAATTATTGAAGTAAAGGAGAGTTACAACCTTGAGTGACAGGTTTGGTTAGAACTATAGGTGAAATTTTTATGGAACATCCTCAGATGAGGCTTCTCTGTCTCCCTTCCTCTTTGAATTGTTAAAGTATATGTTATTTCACACACAAAAGATTACATGAGCTAAATGCTGATCACTTGAGAAAACTAAACTGCGAATTTTAAATTTAGTCGTTACCTTACCTGCAGAGAAAAAGAGATTTATTTACAGTTTATTTCAAAGCTCAAAATGTTTGGCCTAGAGGATAAAGTGAACATATTTAATTGTTTCCTCTTCGTAAGCAGGAAGGGAAGGTTTGGGAACTCATTTGTATACTTCAATGAGGCATCTGATAAATGCTTTGCTGTTGAACTAAATTTTAAAATGATTCTTAGGGATATAGAACAATACCTAGTATCTCCCTACCCCTGGAGCTTAAGTCTGTTTCTGATAACCCCCCAGTTCCAATTCCCAAGTATGCTACAGTGCTTTGAGAGGCTAATTAAGATCCCTGGCTGAAGTGGGAATTGTCTGCAAATTGAGAGTTAGACTGTGCCCCAAATTTCAGACTCACTTAGCCCCCTTTAATTATGTCCATAACCTAAATTGTTGATTCCAAACTACTGTTTTGGTTGGAGTAGAATTGCAAAAGAGTGTACAAGAAGACCTTTCTCTACTCTTACAAGAAATACATGCTTTTACCAAAGTAAAACTGTTTAAAAAAAAAAACTTTTGGTTGCAGTTGTTTTAATTTTTGCCTTGCTCCTACTTTTGGCAAAAAAAGAAAAACTATTATTTTATAATCATTTACTATGGACAGTAATTAAAGTGTTTGATCACTCTGTAAATAGAAAGATGGGCACTCCCTGAGGAAATAAGTTCTAACATTCATCAGTATGTTTTCACAAAACACATTGTAAGAAATATTGAATATAAAATACATTATGCAAGTACTTTCATTGTATATTAAATATTTATTGAATCTAAATGAACATCTTCCTTGCATAGTCTTGCATATTTTTTGCATGTTTGAATTTATACTTATGTTGTTGTAAAAGTCACATTGTTTAGAGGAAGTTTATATTTTATTCCTGTTCTTAGCATTCTATGATATTTGTGTCAATTAATTAAGTTAGCTGCTTTATAGATACACTTTTTGTGATTTTTTAGTGTAAGAAATTCAAAGCAGGTTCAAGTGTGCTTTCTACCAAATGCTATACTTGAACTTTTGGATATTAGCATATATGCAAAGAAAAAATAAATATATTCATCTATTCATTTCACAGCTACTTATTGAATATACAACCCAGGTACTGGTCTAATTGCCAAATATACAGCAGGAAATAAAGCATGACATATATGGTCACCAAGATCTTGAACTTTACCTAGACTGTAATATGTCAACAATGATAGTACCCTACTCTCAAATAGTAATTTTGATCAAATCTTTGTAATGACAAATTAATTAAACCTATAGACTGCTCATAGAAATAGAGGTCACAAAAGAAATTCCATTGCGGAACTAAACTTAGAAATTATATTTTAATTAATTCTTGTTAGTTTTCAAGATAATGGCCATCCAGGCTTTCACGTTTGGGATTTTACTTACTTGGGTGTTCACTTCATCGATAGGTAACCTGTGTTGGTTTACATAATGCTACTGATCGATTTGACCCATGGGAAAAAGCCAATGTAGTATGATTGGTGAGAAATGTTTGAGCCTGATCATTTTAATGGCAGATATTTTATAAGCCATATCTTTAGAAATGTAAGTTGGTTTATTTAAAAAATTTTTTTTTGCTCCTCATCCTTTAATGAGAGGTCTTTATCTATTACCTGTTGATCACTTCTTCCAGGTTTTAGGAGCAAAGCCCGAGCTTAGAGTTGGAGACGATGATGACGATTCCATAGCAGACATAAGTAACAGGAAGATGGCTAAACTCTACATGGTGAGCGCACTGTTATGATTTTATTGTTTTTATTGGGCTGCATGCAGCTGCAGAGGCCTTGGCTGGGGGGTACTCATTGCTGCAGTTGGTAATTCTCTTCATTGCCTTCAGAAAGAAATGTGTAGGTAGAACCCATTCTTTACTCTAGTATGTTTATTTGAATTCCTCTTTTGATTACCTTTTGTTATTTTTACTAAAAACAATAAATAGGTGAACTTATTGCTGTGACTTAAATAAAGTTATGTATTGTTGCTGTACTAGTTTGCAACAACATATTTTGATATATTGCATATAGGAAAATATTTCTTCCGTGTAGTAAAAAATACTTTGTAAGCTTTTCCTTATAAAATCTTGATAAGCTATAAAATTCTTCTCCTTATTTTAAATATCTTGTTTAGCCTTAATGAATGTTTTCTTTGTCACAAGAGGGCTAAATTATCAAGTCAAACAGCTGGAAGGAAATGGTAAAAACAGCCCTGACCTGGGTATTGGCAGGCGTGGGTCCAATCAGCTCTAGTAACAACTGGCTGGGTGACCCAAAGCAAGACATTACCATCCTGGATCTTAGGTTCTTAGCTGAAAATAAAAAGAGAAAGAGAGAGATTATATTAGAGGATAACTTAGTTTCCTTCCATCTCTGTAATTTCGTGATTTTATTGCTGGTGAGAGTAACAAAACCTACAAGATATACCAGTTAAGGAGACTGCTCAAATGGGATCCTTCAGGCAGGTCCTCCCTTGTAACTTGCTAAGGATGTCATTTGGAGCTGACCATAATCCTTCTGCAGAACTAAACGGAGTTGTTTTCTCATCTGTTACAGGAAGGAGTTAGATTTGCTACTCTTTTAAGGGACCTTCTAGCTCAGAAACTCTAATTTTAAATGGAGATAAAATTACTGACTTGTGTATCGTAACTTCCTTTTTGTAAAGGGGAAGTGGAATTCTTTTCTTCCTGGATGGTAAAGGAAAATGTGATTACCACTTCTAAAAACTGATAATTTTAAGATAAAAGCTTATAGAAATTGTTATCTAAAGACTTTGTGGCTGCTTTTTTTTTTCATTACCATTTCCAAAACCCATTTTCAACATCTTAGCAAATATCTTTTATGTCACATCATCAAATAAAACTATTCTCCCTCAATAGTTTATGGACTAAATCGGTGTTTTAAAATATGAACATGTTAATCCTGTATCATTACTCCCTCTAGTGGATCTGTAGTGTATTGCACACATATAAAGTCCTAAGTCTTTTGAAAATACTAATTTGAGATTGTAGAATAAAGCTGCAAGCAGACGATTTAGAAAAATACAGAATTCAAACCCCTGAATAGTGCTGCTTAAATCTACCACTAATCTGAAGAGGGTTCTGGAATCGGCATATTTAGTAAGTGGCCAGATGATTACCATGCAGCCTACAAGCTGGCCTTGAAGTAACAGTGAATTCTTGGCATTAATGTCATTTTCAATTTTGTAAGGCCACCTCCAGCTTTTAAAAAAAAATTCTGTAGTCATTTCCAAACTTTAAAAGTCTAGATAAATAACAATTTATTTGTCACAGAGGAAACTTACTTTATTTACACAACGTACATATACTTAAATCATAGGACCTGTATTTTTTTAAAAATCAACAAGTACAAGCTGTAACCTATCAAAATGCCTGAAAAATGGCAGACATTTGGTAAATGTTAGCTGAATGAACATTAGAATATAAGCTGTTTTGTATATATAGTAAGATTATTATCTATTTGAAAAAATTGGTGTAAAAATTAGGAAGGAACCAGATAAAGTTTATTGCATGGTACCCAGTGTATTTGTGAGAATATCAACAAACCTTAGCCATTATGTTTATCACTATCATTTCCTGATGTTTTGGGCACCATGTGGAAACTTGTGTTATTAATTATTTTACCCCAAAGTACTTTTAAAAAGACTTTTTAGGGTATCATTTGGCCCATGGACTTATTTTTGTTTTCTTTGTAACAGCTTTGTTGAAATATGATTTATATGGCATAACGTTCACCAGTTTAATGTGTACAATTCATTGGTTCTCTTACACTTACAGAGTTGTGCAACCATCACCATAATCTACTTTTAGAACATTTTTATCATCCCCAAATGAGCTCATAGTTTTTATATTAGGTTTCAGATGCCAGTGGATCCATGAGAGTGACCACGGTGGCAGAAGAAAACCCCTTCTCCAGGGCAATGCTGCTTTCTGAAGAATGCTTTATTTTGGACCACGGTGCTGCAAAACAGATTTTCATATGGAAAGGTAAATGATGCTGTTGACATTTTTGCTGCACTTCCGACTTATGGGTATATCTCCAGCAGGCAAAGAAAACATCTCTTCTGATTAAAAAAGAAAAAAACCCACCATTCTGAGACTTATCTGTAAATAGTTCATATAAAATACAGACATCAAAACTATACTTTCTTCCTACTAGCATCATCTGCCAGAGATGATGGGGAAGTATTTGGGCAATATAAAAAGACTTTTTTATATACACTCTTCATTACCATGTTATTAAATATATTCAATGCACTAGGAAATTTTTGCCATTCTCTCAGTGTTATATTCCAGCTAAATTGTAATTATTTTTATTTTTGTACACAAGTATTTCTTTATCATACAATGTTTTCCCTCTCTAAAATTCTCTCTTTAATTTTTCTTGGATTTTAGGTAAAGATGCTAATCCCCGGGAGAGAAAGGCTGCAATGAAGACAGCTGAAGAATTTCTAGAGCAAATGAATTATCCCGCCAATACCCAAGTATGTTTGGAAACGAACTGGTTAGAAAAAACATGGTTAGTTATAACATGAAACTCATGACATCTCCACAAAACTCACGAAAGAGTTTCGTTCAAAGTAATGTATGCACGTGAAGTCATTCCTCACATGCATGCAATGTGTCATATATCCCTAGAACTGTATCTGTGTGAAGGATGCAATTTTGCAGAAACTGTAGATCAGAGTCTTGATCTGCATGATGAGAATAAGACCCATCTGCTTCCTCCACAGCCTTTAAGTCAAGATAATCAGCCACTGTTGAAGGCACCAAGAGTATTATCAGTAATTCCTTAGAGCAAGTTGTGCAGACATGGGCTGATACCCAGATAGCATTGGGCTTCACTGAGATCAGCTTAGACACTGACTAGTTACTCTTCTTTTCTGAATCTTTCAGCATAGTTTTGTTCTCTTTATTTTTTATGTGCTGGCACAAGTAACACAATGAGGTCATTTGTTATGGGTTCAGACTGTTTGTGAATCTAATGTAGAGAAACAGTTCAACCTTTTTTGCCTGCAATGGTAACATGAAAGAATTTGATTCTTGCCTCAAACATCCAAATTCAAGGGCAGTTATTTTTACTGTGAGGAAAGTATTGTTTCCTGGGTTGTTTTATGACCTACCTTTTGTATTCACTGAGGATCCCAGCTTCTGAGTTTACGTCTGTCATCACAGAAATGATGAAGGGGACAGTCTTTGTATTTCCATAGTTTTTTCTCCACTACCAGATTAATGTTTTCCCTTGGTCACTTACTTTCCTGTTTATAATAATCATTATTTTTTAAATTTCAGATTCAAGTTCTTCCAGAAGGAGGTGAAACACCAATGTTCAAACAGTTCTTTAAGGACTGGAGAGAGAAAGATCAGAGTGATGGCTTCGGGAAAGTATATGTCACAGAGAAAGTGGCTCAAATAAAACAAATTCCATTTGATGCCTCAAAATTACACAATTCTCCACAAATGGCAGCCCAGCACAGTATGGTGGATGATGGTTCAGGCAAAGTGGAGGTATTTGCCTGTTTATGTGGGTTTTTATTACACCCATTTACGCCAGTATACATGGAAATATAACTTCAGTAAACTGCAAACTATGCAAAATATAAATTTTACTTATTAGTGAAGAAGGCCTAAAACTGTATATGGAATCAGGGAATTAAAAGCTGAAGGAGTTGTCTGACCTTCAGTCCTGTTTCAAAATGTGTATGTTGAGATTCCAAGAAGTTAGGTGATTATGCAAGATCACCTAATTATCTTCTAGACATTTGATGTGGAACCGGGCCAGCTTGTTTCCTGGTCCGGAACTGCTCCTGCTTTGGCCCAGCGAGGGTGTGTTGCTCTGAATGCACCAACTCCACCAGTTTGTCCTTCCTTCCCTTGCACCTTAGACCAGCCGCAAAAGCAAACTGGCCATGTGTTATGTGCTAAAATCAGGTATTTGTGAAGCACTTGAATTGTTTATTATTCCTTTTTTTGGACAAAAATTGATAAAAACTCCTTAATAATCCTCCCTAACTCTAATCTCTTTACACTCAACCCACTCATGGGTCATCTGACCTAATGAGAACTGGCTGATGATGTCACTTCTTATTCTAAAATATTTTACTAGCTCTCCGGTCTTCCTGAGAACACCCATCTTCAGCTGGGCCTGCACGACTCTTGCTCTCCCCTCTTCCTTCATCCTTCCACTGCCTGTCAGGCCCTGCCCCTCTGCTGTCTGGCTAACAGTCCCACTCCTCCCTTGCGACTCAGTTAAGTCACTGGCTGCATCTCTCCCAAGAAGCCTTCCCTTTGTACAAAAATGGCCCTTCTTTGGACTCAAACCATACGTAATATTTTTCATAGAACCTATCATTTAACTATAACAGAATTGTTCATTTACTTATAAATGTCCCCTCCTCGACCCCTGATCATTTCTTTGATGTCAGGAATTGAATATTTTATGTCAATATTCCCAGAGCTTACCACGATGGTTGGACCAAAGTATGTAGTCAAGAGATTTAAGAAGTAGTTTTCCTCTTTTCAAAGACATGAAGTGGGAATCTAAGCTGTGCAAAGGGTGTGGGAACCACAAAGGGAGAAATGCCCCTCGCCATTGTGAAGGGGTATCAACTTCTTGGTCTGTCTCCTGCTCAGACATCCTTTTCTGAAGCTCAGCACAGCCAGAGGGCCCCGCATCATCTATGTCCTGGCTGCAATCTCCATGTCAGGCCACGGCATCTCTGAGATGTTCTCTTGTGACCCCTCAGGGCTGCTGCAATCCAGGGCGCTCTCTAGGCACTTAGGTTTAGTCAGGCCATGCTACCAGTTCTCCTCTGCTATGTTCCTTTCAGATTTGGCGTGTAGAAAACAATGGCAGGATCGAAATTGACCGGAGCTCATATGGTGAATTCTATGGTGGTGACTGTTACATTATTCTCTATACTTACCCCAGAGGACAGATTATCTACACATGGTAAGTTTCCCTCTTTCATAAGGTCTCAAGTTTCATAGAAACCAGGTTTTGCTCTAAAGTTAAATTCTTTTAAATTCCATGCAATATGGGGTAGAATTATTCTATAGCTAACTCCAGTGAGATTTGTATAGTGTGCATGTGGTATTTTCTTTCAATATGATTTTAACTGTATTTTAGAGCTGCTGTCCACAAGCAGGAGGGACTAGATAAAAAAATCATCCTCTCTAATCCAGGAAACAGGTTTTGATATCCAGAGGATATCATGCTCTGAGTGGATGTGTAGTTGAATATCTCATCTCTTGTGCAGACTAATACTCCAACTGGCCAGCATTGGGTACCATATCTTATTGTTAAAGTTTGCAGAGACCCATCCTGATTGGAGCTGAAGCAAACTGTAAGAGATATATGTAATTTATGAATCTAGTTCATACTCTAGAGACCTCAAATTGATGCTTCCTTATTCTTTGTCCCTGTGAAATTCATGACAATAATGGAAGAAAAAAATGGTCAGTGTATCCACATCTTGTAAGACTTTACATAATGATTTGAGTTAATTGAAGGTTAAGTTTACTTAGAGTCAGTGCGAAGTCCCTGCTCAACAGGGAATGTCTGACCAACTTAACTATTCCAAAGGGATAGGGATTCTGCAAAAATGATAAAATGTGGGATTCTCAAACTTTTTATTAAATGAAATGAAGTAAAATATTTCTGAGAAGACCAGAAAAAAAGAAAAGAATCCTCAGAAAAGATCTTAAAGCTGAGAGGTATAGGTAGAGGGTGCGAGGTGAAGCACCTTGCCCACGTGGTGATGGTGACCTTCTGTAAGCATAACGACTCTGCACAACTCAGGTCTCTGACCACATGGTGACATTTCTCTGTGGTGAGCATTCCACCAGGTGACGGAGCCACCTCCATCCCCAACAGTGGGACCATTTACTGCTTACACTGACCAGTGCCCTGAGCCCAATGAAGTTCAAGAAATGGGATGATTATTCATCCCCTAGGCTCCTGACACCCAAAAGATGGTCTGGGAACCAGAAGTGTCAGCACCCCCTGGGAAGTGGTTAGAAGTGTAGAATCTCAGGTCCCACCTTTGACCCACTAAAGCAGAACCTGTGTTTTAACAAGATTCCCCAGATGACTCAGATGCACTACCTCAGGCAATGGTTCTAAACACTAGGTGCACATAATAAATAACCTGGGCAATTTTTTCACAAATCCAAATGCCTGGCCCCCGTCCATACCAAATAAATCAGACTCTCAGGTGGTGGGACTCCTGAGTATCTAATGTACACTATGATAGCATTAATGAGAACCCGTGTGCCTAGGGACATTTCTGACCTCACAGTCACACCATCTTCTATTAAACATTTAACATATGCAGCTACTGAGCTCTGTGTTTAAGATGCTGTCTTTGCAACAACCGTTTTGTCTTGAGCATCATGTTTATGTCAACAAAGTGCTAGATGTTTCCTTATATTACCTCTCTTCCTCACAACCAGGTTATTTTAAAAAGCAAAAAAGGGAGGGGGGAGTCATACTGAGTAACTTAACCCAAAGTCACACCTGCTGTTACTGGTGAAGCAATATTTCACACCAAATCTGCAGGTCTCCATAACTCCAAGGCCTGACTGCAGCTATAATGTAAGATAAGGGATGTCCTTATTTTGCAATTTCCTTTTCAATTTTAACTCACAAACGTGTTTGCAGAAAGCATGACATTTAAAGGGATGTATTAATTGTTCCCAATCAGCTTTTCATTTACAGTCTGTTTTCCAGTCTCCCTCTTACTTCTCTTTTATCCTATAAAGAGTATACTTGATTGTGGCAATTAGATAAAACAAGAAAGACTGAACAAACAGTTCTAGTGAATATTTTAAAGCATCAATAATTTGCAGTCCACATAAGTAACTATGAAGATATAATCAGGTTGGTTATCAGTTTGAAGAGGAGTTGCTATTCCTTAAATCAATTGGAAGTGTTCATTGAGCACTTTCTGTGTGCCAAGCACTATGGTAGATACTAAAGACACAGTGGTAAAAAAAACACAATCTTGTCCCCAAGTACTTACACTGCTAAGAGAAGCAGGTGATTAATAGGCATTCCAATGAAACAGGGTTTTAGGATAAGACCAAGCTGAGTGATCTCTGGGGAATTATAGTTGCACACAAAGGCATAGTCCTAGGCTATTGGGGAAAGGCCCCTGGGGGAGTGACGTCTAAGAGTGAGCAGAAGTGGGAGCTAGGCAGGCGAGCAGATGGGAAAGCTGTTCCAAGTGATGCCCGGAAAAGTGTGCTCTACTCCCCCAGTACTGATGTATGGCCAGAGCAAAGTTAGGGAGCAAAAGATAAAACCAAAGAAATTAGAAGGAGCCATATTGTGAATGGCCCTGTAACCCTCTGGGGAGAATGAACTTTATTTTCAGGGCACTGGGAACCAGTCAAAGAGCTTTCACAGGGGAGTGACATGGTTGGTTTTCATCTGAGAGAAATTATTCTGGCTGACATCTAAAGAATGGACTGGTGTCAGGGAGGCAGTAATCCAGCTGAATGATCATGTGGCCAGAATTCAGGGCCAGGGCAGTGGGGAGGGAAAGGATGAGACTCGCTGATGAAGCATTAAGGAGTTGGTATCTGCAGGAGTGGTGGTACTGGTGCTGAGGAGCAGAGAAGGTGACCAAGTCAGGGGTGACCCTCCAGATTTCTGGTCTGTGCACAAGTGGCTAGTGTTCTGTTCACTAAGTTGAGGAGCCCAGGAGAAGGACAAGTTTGGCCCTCCCTGTAAAAAACTCAAAGGGAATAAGAGATGAAAATATGTCACACTGTTAATAGTACTGTTTTGGGGATGTGACTGGGGATGGGAAAGGGTATCATTTAGTTTTCTTCTTTCCATTTTCATGTGTTCAAAGTTTCTATGATGAGAATGCATGACTTTTTGAGCCATCAAGAGTCTAACTTACATACTTGAGATCTTTTGTGAACCTTTGCCATTTAATATCATGGATGTGAAATGTAAGTTTGTTAATGTATGGTTTGTAGAACTTTGAAAGCTTCCATAAAGATACTGAAGAGCCATTTAGAAAACAAGCAGATCTCTTGAAGACTAGCTTTTGAATGAAACAACTTTCTAGTTTATGTGATACTTTTGATGTGAGAATGTAGGTTAAGACCATGTGGTGGAGGTAAAGGCGGTAGACCAGAACTAAATCAATTACTGAATACACAAATTTGTCTTTTTATTTCTGGAACCACTTATATTCTAAGATGATAGCAGAAAAATGATTTCAGCAGTGATCTCTCTCTGAAATGTCAGGTAATTGAAACTGAACAAACATTGAACAGTGGCAATGATGAATCTTTGAAGCAGTAAATTCCATTTTCATGCAGCATTTATTTTTAATGAGTAGCAAGAACCACAGGTTTATGAAGAAATCATATCAAGATAAGATTTCATAAATTAGAGACAAAGAGCAACTTTACTATATCTTTATTGTAGTGTAGTACTTGACCTCTTGGGTCATAGATCCACAAAGCAAATTAGCTGGAATCTGTGCGGTTGGGAGCATAGGTGGGTCACTTTGATAGGAAGAGGGGTTTGAGATAAGCAGTGAAATATTTATTAAGAGTTTCAGGCAAAAGTTTGGTGAGGTTTTTCAGACTAGCTGATTGAAATAGTCCAGGAAAGGCAAAGACACAAGATGGAGACAAAACTTTGGTGTTATCATTTATTGGTTGTATTTTTTTGTTGTGTAAAAGCAGGACATGGAGAAATAGCCAGAAAACTGTAGATGTGAGGAAGAAATGACAGGTGCTAACAGCTCCTGCTGTTATCCTAAGCTCTCTTTTACTTCCTGCTCTGTGCTCCCAGAAGTGTTGGTGAGCATCATAGGTTCGTGGAAAATTTAGGCTATTAGCAATAAAAGACTATATTTTTATGGGTGCATTTGTTAGAGAAAGGCTTTTTAATTTTTTCTAAATGTGTGTCTGACATGAGAGTGCCCTTCCCTTTTTATTTTTATTTTTGCACCCCTCTGTAGAGCATAATTATATTTTCATATCAGTCATTTGACTGTTGGTGCAAGGAAACATTCTGATACAAATAATGTGAGCCAGTGGTGTGTGTGTGTGTGTGTGTGTGTGTGTGTGTGTGTGTGTGTGTGTGTTGCCCAGGTTGGAAGGTTAATGTTAATTTGTCCTGGGTATGGACAGATAGGTCATTCTCAAGGTTTCAGAAGATGACTAACTTTGGAAATAGAATTCCAGGACTGGTATTTTTCCTGATAACTCCTAGTCAGATAGAGGTGGGAGAGCTGACATGAAATAGTCATTGTTCAGCTGGCTCCTCGGCCCACGACACTGTCCAACAAGCAGATTTTCATAAAGGTTGCTTTATAGGTTAAGCAAGTAATTGGAATTGCAGCCACAAGCTACCCAAGAAAGAGAAGTTGCAAATGAACTAGGGGAATTGATTTATTGACCTTTATCTTGGTTTGTGGTAGTCTAGCCTCTCTCAAGATTTTATTAATAATTCCTTCAAAGAATTGCAAGAATGACAAAATGAGGCCTCTCCCTTGCTTACTTGTGATAATTATTTTCTTGATTTTTTCCTGGGTCTAGCTCTTTGTTATTATGTTCACCAAATATTCCTAGAAAGATAAAATGTCTCTAATATCCACCCTAATAGATTTGCCTTATATTCCACTTATATTTTCACATGGAGATGGTTTCCCAAAATAGACAGCTCTAACTTGAAATTATACAGACCTGATGACTTAGATAAGTTATGTAAGGCGCTAAGACTCAGTTTCTTAACCTATAATATGGAGACAAAAAATGTCTATGACATGTAGTTCCAGACAATATGCAGGGTAATTCATGACTCAATTCAGCACTTTTAAAAAATGATAACTTTTATGGCCATATTGTGTCGAAACAGTTGGTTTCTTCTTGCTTTCACAATAACTTAAGTCTCTGCTTGAAATGCCTACATGAGATGATCTTAAAACTTAAACAGAAGCTGATTTACTTTATTTTGCTTCCTCCAGGCAAGGAGCAAATGCCACAAGAGATGAGCTTACGACATCTGCTTTCCTGACGGTTCAGTTGGATAGGTCCCTTGGGGGACAGGCTGTACAGGTTGGGATATATTGACCCTTGAAACTCATACAAGTCATTGCCAGCCAGTGTCTATTAAAGCCCTCCTCCCAACTTGGGATGGGAATTTGACATTTTCTAAATACTAGCCTTTTTTCATTTTGGAATTTAAATAGTTCTACTCTCATGCCATACTCATTCTCTCAGATTCTGAAAAAGAGGGAGCAAAGTTGGAAAAAAAATTAAAGGAAAACTACCATACTTAAAAGCCCCAAAGTATCTTTCCTTTAGAATCACATCAAATGTCCATGACAGACACTTGACATTGATACTGTTGTGAGTAATCCCATCTAGTAGATCATTTTCCAGTTTGAAAATCTTTATAAATGTGTATAAATTGCTTGTTCAGAGGTAATGATTGAATAGAGTTGAGTCAGATCGTTTAGTATAAAAGATAGACTGAATTTGGTTTGTCAGCTAATTTCCTTTCCATCTTGATACTTGTTAATAGATGTATAAAACAAGTCAGATCTAGATTTAGAGGTGCATATTAACTCTTTTTTATAAATTAAGTTAAATTGTTCATTAACCAATTAATAATATGATTGATTCTTTAAAGGCACTGCTCTTATTTTTCCATGAAATATTAGATTCATTTCTTGAATGAATTACTTCTAGCCAAGACTGACATCATCTAGGTCCTTTAATTGATCTTTAAAGGATTTCTCACCAGATTATACAAAAACTTGGAAGGCTTTGGATTGTACTAATGCCTTATAAATTCTGTATTTCCTAGTAAAATATTTGATATACCCAATGAATGGATTTCTATTTTGGTCAGTGATATTGACAATGAAATGGTTATGTTTAATTTAACCATGAGATGGCATTAGTTTACAATAATACATTTTTTAAAAAGCACCTAAAATCCTACAGTGCTGTTTTAAACATTACTTTGTATATTAACAATCTTGCATTTTTTTTCAATTTATCTGTTTCTCTCTTATTTTCATTTCACAGAAGAATGAGTCTTAATTAGTGGCCCTCCTTCTCTTATGTTGCCCTTAGAGGTTTTCTTAATGTTATAGGAATGCTTAGCCAGCACCTGTAGGTACTCCTAGCTAACCTCACCCCAAGCTTTGGGGTTGTGACTTAAAAGACATTTTCATAATTTGCTACTCACTAATTTGAATGTCTGTCAAATCGAAAGGTATCTGTGAAGTTAATTATTTTCAATGCTCCCTAGGCCTGCCTACAATGGTATGTGCATCAGCATTTCTAGTTTTTTGGCTTCTAGAAAGAGACAGACCAGGGTAGGCAAGGCACTTCAATTTTAGCAAAGGGAAAAATAATTGGAAAAAAATAGGGGACTGACACAAAATTTGAATTCTTTATTTAGAAAATGCATTAATAAATTAACATAAGAAATAGGAAATTCATTTCTAATCCAGTATCTGGTGTTAAGTTAATAGGAAACATTAAGTAATTTGCCACTTATTTCCTTAAATCCTTATCCTGAGAAGTACTACCATTGTATTTTAAAAAGTGCTTATATTAATCAAACCTACACCATTTCTACAGGTAAGTTATAAAGTAGAAAGTACATTCTGTTTATTTTTTGCCAGTTTTTTATGTCTAGATTGAATCTTTACTCATCCCCAAATTATGATTGTTTTTTATCTCACAGTTACAGGGATGCGGAAATAATGAGCGTGCTTACTTTGGGAAGCATTTGAATGTACATCTCTTTCTGAACAAGATCTAAACTATGTGTGAAACAAAAATGTCTCCTTAATATCTGTAAAGTTTTGGTGCTCTTGAAAAAAGAGTCATTTTCATTAAAGGCAGTATATATTAGCACTTGGCTGTTTTTTCTCTTTTGGAGATATAAATGAACAGATCTACATCTTTATGCTTTATGGAAGCAGAAAAGGGGACAGTATAGTGATGTTTCCTTGAGAAGCCAGAGGTGCTGTGTCTGGAGCAACAAATGATTCTTAAGTCAGCAAGGAACCTGTGCTTGATTGTCATTAACCTATATTTTCTGTTCATCGTGCCTCTTGCTTTTGACTTTTTGTGTATTTTATGTTCTATTTACAAAAAGAAAAATAAGAATACATTTGGAAATACAACCTTCTTTCATTGCACCTTTTATTACATTTCTTTTACTCCCCCACCCCCAGATCCGAGTCTCCCAAGGCAAAGAACCTGTTCACCTGCTGAGTTTGTTCAAAGACAAACCTCTCATTATTTACAAGAATGGAACATCAAAGAAAGGAGGTCAGGCACCTGCTCCCCCTACACGCCTCTTCCAAGTCCGTAGAAACCTGGCATCTATCACCAGAATTGTGGAGGTAATGTCATATGTTCAATAAACCAAACCTTGCTACAGGCTTGACAGGGACCTGAGCCATCAACAAATAGTAGTTTTTAAAAACTGGCAAGTGAATTCCCTTCATTTCTCTAGTTAATCCAGTGTGTACAATAAAAAGAACTAAAAGCAGAAGAATCGAGTAAAATGTTTACTTCAGATTACCAGGTCTCTCATGTTTACTGTATGAAAACAAATGAATTTTAAGAATAATGTAACAAATCAAGCTGCCAAAGGCATGAGCCAGCTTAAGCTGTATCTTGAAAGGCCTCGGGAAGATGGATGGCAGGTCATGGTCAGGTGACCACACTGAGGACATCTGAGAGGCAAGGCCCTTGTTTGTACATGTGTAACGAATGTGGAAAGCAAGCATCACCACAGTGGGCTAGAGCTCTAACTCAGCTGGGCAAATAAACTGCCTGTGAGAGCAGCTGTGAAAGGAACCAAACCCCTACCACAGTGTTGTGAGACAAGAAGGCCTCCAGGGACAGGCAAGGCCAGCAGACCCAGGTTTTGGGGAGGCTGAGTGCTTTGACCTCCGGGACAACCCAGGCATTCATACCCCAGTCACATCAGTTACCATGGAAATCTAAGTCTCCCAAGCCACCACTAAGCTGCCATGCCTACTCTGAATGTCCCCACACCCAGGCCCAACTGCCAACCCTTGCCCTCTGCACAGCCACTGGGCCGAGCCTTCACCCAGGTGGGTCATGGCATCCCTCCCCCTGTATTCTCTTCTCTCCCTTTGCCTACTCACCCTGAGTCTGTCCTCCAAGGATGCACATTCCCATACAGCCCTCTCAAGTGGAAGCTGTTTTCCCCCAGTGGCCTCTTACCATGGAGAGGAATGAGCAGGGATGAGCTCGCCCTTGCCCCTGACTGCTCTCCTTTCTATCAGTCTCTCCCCCACTGCCTGAGTTAACCATCATCCCCCTCTTATTCTGTGATACCTTCAGCCATAGTCCCACTGTCTCCCTTTCTCTGGCTCCTCTCTCAGCCAGCAGTTGTCTCTTTGAGCCCTTCCATCTGACACTCACGTGGTCCTGTCCTGAACCTTGCCATTGGTGCTAACTTCAGCACTTCAGAAATCTGTTTCAAACATTTCATCTCTGCCAACCATCCCCTGTCCTTTAGCCCCTTTACTCCAGGAAGCACATTCTGCAATTCTTCAGGTGCCTGCCTAAATCTGTGACTCCACTCCCTCTGTCACTGCCTTCCAGTCCTTTCCAAATATCCAACATTCCTGCTCTCCATTGATAACTGGTTCCGAGTGCATGGAGAGCATACATGTAATCAAAGAATCTTGTTATCTACTTCCCTCTAGCTTCACCAGCTTGTCTGCATCTGTACATATGTATCCCCTTTCCTGCCTGTTTTAAAGAAATTTAACTTACTTATATTTAACAATTAATGGTTTGTTACATATAAATACTAAATTATTTTATAAATTGATATCAATGTGTTCTTATCCATAAATTAATAATAATTAATAATGCTTGGATAAATTAGCGTTTTGGTAAATAAATTAATACATATTTATTACTGCATATATAAAATCTGACTGCTGTCCTAAAGCCAAATTCCTACCGCTTCCACGTGTCCACTGACTTCTGTTTCCCCGACTCTCTTGCCTTTACTGGATTTCTCTCTGTCCTGTGTTCTTATCTCCCACCCACCTCATCATTAACATATGCAGTAATCTCCTTATTCTCCCATATAATCAGTTTATTCATCTATCCTGGATCATTCACTTTGGAATACAAAAAAGCATTTAAAACACTCTCAACCTTTATTAAAACCTGTCACTTGACCCTCACCCTTGCAGCTGTCACATCCTTTCTCTGTCCTCCTTAAGAGTACAGACCCTTAACGCACTTGGCTTCACTCACTGTCCCCCCTTCTGAAAGCCTGTTCTCCCTTAGAGCCACTCCGTGCAGGCATCCATGTCCACAGGCATCGCTTCACTGAATGGTCTCCTGATCATCTGCCACAGCAAAAAGTCTCTTCTCTGATCCCACTTCTCCTACCCTCCTCCCACCAGCATTTTCTGCAGTCACCCCTCCTGTCTTCTTCAAACACTGTTTTGTTTTGTTCACTAGGCTTCTGAAACACCACATTTATCAGGATTTCTTCCAAACTTCAGGACCACCCTTCTGGAGTGTTTCCACTCCACCTTCCATCCAGTCCTGGGTTGCTGGGTTCTCTGCTTTTCCCTGAGCACTCGTGCTCTCCGAGACTCTGTCCTGGGCCCCTTCAGAGTGATCTCATTCAGTCATCCAGTTTAAGTTCCATTATATGTATTGATCTCATCCAAAATGTTCTGTGCACATATTTTCAGGTGTTTGGTTATGACTAGCATTTTTTTTTTAATCTATCAAATTGACAGTGAAGCTCTCGTCTGCAGGTACGCTCCATTGATTTCAGATGGTAGAGTCAGTGAGATTCGTCACATTCCTGGTCTCCTCCCAGTCGGCACCTCTCTGAGCCATCCCAAGCCACTTGTGATTCAGGTCCTTTATTTCCTTGCAGCTTCTCAAACTGTCCTTCACATTCCTAGCCTGTCTAAAATGCACTAGTCAAGACTGCTGTTGATAGGCTTTCTGTTTTCTTCTCCTGGGAGGTTCATTTTCTATTTTGGAACTACTCCCTGATTCTGTACCAGGCAGGACATGGGTCTCAGATTACTTCTCTCCCCATCATCCAATCTCTTTCCTCTGTACCAATAAAGAGACATTTGGATGAGAAATTTCAAGTCATGATTCCTATAAATCTCCTTCAGACCTCATTTCTTCTTTCTTTCTTTCTTTCTTT